GCCCCGTTCCAACCGAACCGGTTGGAACGGGGCGAGAAACCCACCCCTGGGTTAGGATCTAAATAAAGCCTTCATTTCATTTATTTGAAATGGGGGGGGGGATGTCAACTGGACAATTAAAATAACTAGCTGAAATGGTCAAGGACAGAATTTGTGCTATAAATTGGATTTCCCCCCCTCCAAAAGCTACTTTTGACTTGGATAGAACAATACCAGAAAAGGTATGGGTTGATAATTTTATGTCTGTCTTAGTGAACACACAAGTGATTCCAACTTTCTTGAATTTAGTGTGGAATATATTCCATATTGCCTCCTTCTGAACACTCCAGATGTATTTTGCAGTTGAAAAAAATGACAAAGACACTGAGGTAGATTTGTTTCCAGCTGAATTACCTCAGGTAAATTCTGAAAGGTGGGCTCCTATACTGAAATCTTTATTTACTCCTATTGATCACTTCCTACAGACCTCCAAGGCATTAGAGTTGGTCAATTACAATGCCAATTTAGAAGAAGGGAGACAAAACCGATCTGACAAATTTCCAGCTAATTACTCTACTAAGTATAATCAGTAAATTGTACACCAGGCATATTTATTGGAATTTTTTTTTACTTGCTGGTGCAGAACAATGCACTGGCTGACAAGCAATCTGATTTTGAACAGGAGGCTCAACACTTGAGCAGTGTATAATTATTAGAATACTTTTAGTACTTTAAGTACTCTACTAACGTACTTTTAGTACTCTAATTGCCCCTGGTATTCTTTATATTGCTTTAATGGATTTGACGGTAGTGTTTGATTCAATCTCCAATAATGGACTTTGGAGACAAAACTAACATGTATGACTACTTCCTACAATATGACATGAACATATATCTCAATGCAGGTTAGATGCAGTACTTGAGAATTTATTTGTCTACCTGTTATTTTGTTGGATCAGGGTTGTTTTTCTTGCCTCAGGTACCATTCATATAGAAATAAAACAAAAGTTATATTCTGTCCTGCCTTTTCCCAATCCCCTACACTTACCTGAGTTTTATAGTACAAGCTTTTACACCCAGCAATCCTGCCAAATAAACCTACCTCAGCCTTTCTATATGTCAATGATGCAGCCATCCAACCAATGCAGGTAGAAATAAGTTGGAACATTTAAATTCATTCTTCATATTATAGAGAGGAAATATCAAAAGAAAAATGTGGGTCTTCACTAACAGTAAATTATTTATTATTAAATGTGTATGCTGCCCAAGTCCCAAGCAGATCATTTGTGGAAGATTAAGGGCACTTGCATGGAGCAAACTGAGGAATTTTAAAATGTGATAATAACTTTCCAATTTTCTGCAGTTGAGATAAGAGCTATCACTGATTAATCCCAATAAGTGTTAATTCTGTTCTGAAATATGGTAGCTGCACAATGGTAACATTATTCCTGTTGCTAGATCTTGTTTGTGCTTGTACCTGACTTTGAGTCAGGGTTGACTCAAAACTATTTGAAAACTGCTTCTTCGCATGATTTTGGAAGTGGTTTGTCTTTGTGTGGAGAGAGAGGGGGGAGGGGGAGGGAGGAAGGGAGGGAGGGAGAGAGAGAGAGAGAGAGAGAGAGAGAGAGAGAGAGAGAGAGACGAGACAGAGACAGAGACAG